ACAATATTTATAAATAATGATTTCAATACATAATAATATTAAAAATAATAATTTCAGAAATTATATTTATTAATTGATGAATTTGAAATTATTTATTTAACTTTGATTGAATAAAAAAATTAAATTAAATGACATAAAAAAGGTCAATAAAAAATTTTGATAATTATCCTAATAAATTATACACTGAAAAAAAAGTTTTCTGCTTGGCGCCATCTACTGTATGGTAAAAGGTGTATCGTTACGGGTACAATCCGTACAGCTACGAGTAGCAGTCTGAATCGTAACCGTCACGATCTATTCGGTGCCATTCACGAAACGTATAGCTACCGTAGTATACCGTTTTTCTAACCTCACTCTCCTCTAGATGGTAAAGTGTAGATCGTGATAGTAGCGATCTCGTATCATGCGGAGCAGAAAACTTTTTTTTCAGTGTAATTTAAATAAAAACATGATTCTATATTATTTATCACTAATAAATATAAACGAAAATTAATTTAGCAGATATTTAATAATTTCTAGAATTTTTTTAACAAATAAATTATGGTAAAAAAATGAAAACAAAATTGGATATGTAGAAATTTTAAAAAATCATAAATGCAATTTTGTAAAAATAATTTTTCAGAAAAAATTTATTTGTTAAATAAATATATAATAATTATTTTCTAAAAAATTAAGACAAAGTGAATAAATTTTTTTTTATTCATTGACAGGTAGAGACACTTTTTAGCGGTGACCGTCTCTTTTTTCTCATGCAAAAATCTTTCGCTACAAAAATTCTCAGCAATAATTTCTTGTACAATATTTTTTTTATTTAATTATTATTAATTTTATTATTATAAAAATTGATAATATTTATAAATGAATGAATAATAAGGTAAGAACAATTGTACCGTGCTTGGGGAGCCGGTATCAGTTGAGCACTACTGTTGAGTTCCCCCTCTACCATTAGTCCGGGTAGCGAACGTGCTCGCTTTATCGAAAATCCGCTCGCGTTTAACTCGCTATTATTTGACCCCAATCAAAAATTAATTTTTTTCAAAATAGCCAAGTTTTTTGCAATTAAATTCTAG